ACACACACACACACAGGCGCGCGCACGCATGCAGGCACGCACGCACACACACATGCAGACACACATATATCCTCACCTACACACACACGCACATACCCACACACATACACACACACATACACACACACACACATACAAATACAGGCATTTGAATTCTAGCAGATTAACTCACGGTTAACAGACTAAGTCTTTAGCAATAGCTACATCAATAGCTGTAATATGAAACAATATCCAACCAGCTGATAACTGGCACTATCAACAAGCAGACCCTTTCATGGATCCTGGTGAGGAGGGAGGAGCAGCTGTGGCATTGTGTCACCTGCAATGATGTCATTTCTCCAACCAAGTAATATAAAACAGAACTCATAAAAACAGTACTCAAAAACAACTGATGGCTCTGTAAATACGAAACAGTATTTGAAAATGGTGGATGACCCTATTAGTATGAAACAGGATTCAAATATGGCAGGTAGCTTTGGATGTAGTGTATAAGACAATCACCTTTATAAACAAGGACATTGTATCTTTCCGTCCCCCTTGAGTTCTTTTAACATTACAATGACACTATTGTAAGACGACCAACTGTTTGAGTCAGGCATCTCTCTCCTCGACTACAGCGGCCATCTTAGACAATTTCGACTGTATTTCGAAAAGACAACCAGACAAAACAACAAAAACACGTCATTCCACACAAACAAGAAGCGTTCCGGAAACACCAGATTTCTTACATCAATGAGTTCATCCACGTCCTCCACATCTCCCGGTACGTCAGACAAAGCGTTGAAAATCTGGGCAGAGTTGTCCAAGCCTTGTAGCTCGTGTTCCTGGAGATTGACGGAAAGAACGGAGAGAGTGAAAATAAAGTACGGAGCACAGGGGGAAATTAATACAATATTAGCTTTTTACCGACTCCGGCGCTCATATGGCTTTATGCAGTTGCGAGCGCCGTAAAACCTTGCTAAAACTAAACTAACTAAACAGAACTTTGTTTAAGAGTTAGCTTATCAATTGTATACGAGTCACGACTCTGTGGAATCAAGCACTTGTCAATTTCTTGGACTAATGAAGCTATTGGTATCACCTTAGAGACAGTTCATTTGCCTTGCTTTCGATGAAAAAAACACCCATCTATCTTAAATGAAAGTCGAGATATATGTAATTGAAAGAGGTGGGGAAAGTTTGGTTTCAAAAGTAAAATTAGCCAGAAAACGGCAGCTAAATTTGGCGATTTCCAAAATATGAGTGTCTTTAAAGACTGCAAACTAACATTTTTTTTTTTCTCATCTACCTTTTCTCCTGTAACTTTCATGCAGGAATAAGCTTAAAATAAATATATACGGTGTTGAGCCAAAAAATTTAAAAATCAAAAAAAAAATTACCCAACAGATGGACAAACGTTGGTTTCTTCAATTACATAATTTGACTAGCGCCTGATTCCACAACGCTGCGACACATAATTAAGTTCTTAAAATAACCTTGGACTGTTTGGAAAACAATAGCACCTAAATGGTAGTTGTTTGCTTAGTGCTTCCAGGATCATGATCAGAGCGATGGTTTGTTAAAGCAATAGCAAAGAAACATTAATTGAAGTCAACTAAACGATTCAGCGTTAATATTCACAATAATAATGACTGCTGTTTTGGAAGGAACAGACTAACTATTTATTGTTTCGGAGTACAGAACCTTTCAACACAGTAACCTTTGAACTCCGCATCCACCTCTGAGAGCACCAAGCCACTTATCTCTTTATCTCTGAGGGGTGGGGGACTTACTGGAAATGGAAACACACCTGCGTGGTGTCTGTCTAGCTAGGGCTTCCAGGATAATGGTCAAAGTGATAATTGTCAGAGAGGCAATTGCAAAGAAACATATGAAGTCAACTCAACGATTCAGTATTAATATTCACAATAATAATGACTGCTGTTTTGGAAGGAACAGACTAACTATTTATTGTTTCGGAGTACGGAACCTTTCAACACAGTAACCTTTGAATTCAGCATCCACCTCTGAGAGCACCAAGCCACGTAAGAAGAAAAACCTTGAAAACCACTAAAAACAACAAAAGTCCAAGAGCGCCCCAATGGGGACTCGAACCAGGATCAAAATCACCATAGCCCAGCAGGATACCAACTGATAAATACAGCATGCCCAGAAAAAAGACCAGATTAAGAAAACTTGGGGGGTAAAAAAAGCAGCTCTGAAAAGAAGCAGAAGAAACAGGCAACACCAGGGGACCCACCAACCACAAGCAGATTGAGTCAAGACTTTTGGGGTACACTGTGACCCACAAAGAA